AGGGAAGGGAAGGGAAGGGAAGGGAAGGGAAGGGAAGGCTGCCAGCACTGGAGGGGGGGCACAAGAAGCTCGGAAAATCGGGAGATGAGGTGAACTGGGAGAAGGAGGGATGGAGACGGGAGTGAGGGAGAGAGGAGGATCGGGAAGAGGGAGAAAACGGAGGATCGGGCGACGGAAACGGGGGCTGGCAAGGCAGCGGGGGGTCTACCTGTACCTGAGGGACATTGCGAGGAGCGGGAGCACCGGGAGGGGCAGTAGGAAAGGGAGGAACCGGGTAAAGGAGGGATGGAAACGGGAGATGCTTTTTCCCGGCACCGACACAGCGGCTCCCGGGGGGGGTACGGGGGCGAGCGGGGCTGGGGCACCCTCCCCCACACCGGGGCCCCGGGGCCGCTCACCGTGAGGGACACACAGGGGGACACACAGGGAGGGGACGGGCCGGGAGGGGAGCAAGGGCAGAGGGACACACAGACACGGGGACTGATGGACACTCACCGGGCCCCGGCCCAGCCCCGCCGCCGCCATCCCGGGGCGCGCGCCGGGGTCACCCCCAGCTCAGCCAATCAGCGTGCGCCGATCGCGGCAGGGGGCGGGGCCAGTGCTGCGCTGCCCGAGCGCCCCCTGGCGGCTCGGAGGACCCGGGAGTGGCACCCGACGCCTCGCCCCGAGGGGTCCCCTCGTGACCCCACAGAGTCTGATCCTGACCCCACAAAGGGCTCGTCCCGACCCCTAAGGACCTTCTCCTGACCCCACAAAGATCCTCATACTGACCCCACAAGGAGCCTCATTCTGTCCCCCCTACAGTGTTCCCTCCCGACCCCACAAGGAGTCCCCCCTATCCCCACAAAGAGCTCATCCCGACCCCTAAGGGCCCTCTCCTGATCCCACAAAGTGTTCCCTCCTGACCCCACAAAGGGTCTCACCCTGTCCCCCCACAGGGCCCCTCCTCACCCCCCCGTGTCCTTAAAGAAGGTTCTATCCTGGCCCCCATTCCCATATCCAGGATCCCATTCCACCTCTCATCCCACAGATGGAACCCCATCCTGAACGCCCCCCAAAATGGACCCTGTTCCGCTCTAGCCCCACCTATCCCCTACCCAGAACCCCATCCAGACCCCCCCAAATCCCAAAAACCCCAATCCTGCTCCCCATTCCCACACCCAGAGCCCTATCCCGACCCTCTTCCCCTCCATTCCAGTCCCATTCCAGCAGGAATTCCACACGAGCCTTGTGTTGAGTGCAAAAAATAAATATAAAATTTATTAAAACACCCACAATATTTTAAAGATATCAGGAATAATACAGCCCACGGCCCCGTGGCCGTGCCAACTCAGAATAAAATACAAATTAAAAAAAAAAAAAAAAAAAACAACAAAACAAAACAACAACAGAACAAAAAGAAACAAAACCAAAACCAGAGGGGAGGGGGAGGGGGAGAATCCAAACTTGCAATTTTTAGGCATCCTAAAAAATAAATTTACTGAAACACTTGGGAAACAGGGAAAAGAAAAGAAGGTTAAGGGGGGAAAAACAACACAAAGAGGGGGAAAAGAAAAAGGGAAAATTATACAAAATAAAATTATCAGCATAAATTTACTGTCCTAGAAGTATCTACAGTTTAATACACGTTAATCCTATTGCCTTGAGACATGGGAAAAAAAATCTACCGGTCCTCAATCCGCCCCGGAAAAAAACTTCATTTCAAGTAACCACAGTCCCGAGCCGACCAAGAAATCTTCAAGTGAATTTTTCGGAGCCGCCGGGACACCCCTGCGGTGTTTTCCCCCTCCACCTGCCGCCGACCCACCTCCCCATCTCGATTATCCAAAAAAAAAAAAAAAAAAAGCCCAACAAAAACGCCGAAACACCCGCCCCGCCTCCGACCGAATTCCCGAATCCGAGAAGAAACGGAGCTAGATTTTTAAATTTGGAATTACCACCTCTTTTTCCTTCGTGCCGCGGTGCAAAAAAACCCTCAAACCACAAAACCAAAATTTAAAAAAAACATCCCACCGGCCAATAAACCTCCTCGCTCCCGGAATCAAAATGAGGCTGAAATTCCGGCGGTTTTGTAAATCCCTGAAGGATGCGGAGAAATGAGGAAAAACCCGGGCGGAAAGGGAAAAAGAGGAGGGCGAAAACGAAGAGGGGGAAATGAAGGAGGAAACACCGCTGCGAAAGGATCCCTGATTTCGGAAAAGCTTCACCCCGGACTCGCTGGCGGGGGCTGGGGGGGGCTGAGGTATTTGCCTGGGGGGGGGGGGGGGGGGGGGGGGGGGCAATAAACCCCGAAAAAAAAAGTTTTTTAAAAAATAACAAAACCGGAAAAAAGGGGGGAAAGGGAAAAAAGAAAGAGCCGGGCAGAAGCGGGGTGGACGAGGCGGGAGGGGATGAGAGCGAGGAGCTGCGGGAGGGCGGGGCTGAGCCTGGGCAGGGGCTGGACAGAGAGATGGACACGGGCTGGACACAGAGATGGTCACAGAGATGGACACGGGCTGGACATGGTGCTGGAAACAGATGGACACAGGGATGGACAAGCCATGGATGCAGTGCTGGACACAGATGGACACAGAGATGGACATGGGCTGAACAGAGTGCTGGGCACAGGGATGGACATGGGGCTGGCGTGGGTTTGGTGCTGTAGGGGAACAGTTCCAGAACTGGGCCTGGCCGGGCAGTGCTGGGGGTCTGTGTGGTGTCATGGAGGTGCCCCAGCAGCACCGAGCTGTGCGCTGTGCCCATGCTCTGTGCCCAACCACCGTGCCCATGCTCTGTGCCCAACCACCACGTCCATGCTCTGGGCAACCACCGTGCCCATGCTCTGTGCCCAACCACCACGTCCATGCTCTGGGCAACCACCGTGCCCATGCTCTGTGCCCAACCACCACGTCCATGCTCTGGGCAACCACCGTGCCCATGCTCTGTGCCCAACCACCACGTCCATGCTCTGGGCAACCACCGTGCCCATGCTCTGTGCCCAACCACCACGTCCATACACCATGTCCAAGCCCCACGGCTGAGAACTGTGTCCACACACTCCAGCTCAGCACCACGTTCACACACCGTGTCCATGCACCATGGCCAAGCACCACACTCACAGGCTGTGGCCAAGCACTGTGTCCATGCTCCATGTCCATGCTCCATGCCCAGGTGTGTGCCCAAGTGCCGTGTCCACGCACTGTGCCTGAGCACCACGCTCAGGCACCATGTCCACAACACGTGGTCAATCACATCGCGGCCAAGCACCACGGCCATGGTCCATGGCCAAGCACCACAACAGAGCACTGTGCCCAGGAACCATGGCCAAGCACCACAACAGAGCACTGTGCCCAGGAACCATGGCCAAGCACCAAGTCCATGCACCAGGTCTATGCACCATGTCCACTCACCATGTCCACTCAACCATGTCCATTCACCATGTCCACTCACCCTTGTCCACTCACCCTTGTCCACTCATCCTGTCCACTCACCATGTCCACACACCACATCTGAGCACCACGTCCACGGTGCATGGCTGAGCACCATGCCCGAGCACCATATCCATGCACCGTGTCCGAGCACTGTGGTCAAGCACTGCCCACACATGTTCACACACCACAGCTGAGCTGAGCACCACATCCATGGTGCATGGCTGAGCACCATGCCCGAGCACCATGTCCATGCACCATGTCTGAGCACTGTGGTCAAGCACCATGTCCACTCACCATGTCCATGCACTGTGGTCAAGCACTATGTCCACTCACCATGTCCACGCACTGTGGTCAAGCACTATGTCCACTCACCATGTCCACTCACCATGTCCAAGCACCATGTCCAAGCACTGTGGTCAAGCACCATGTCCGAGCACCATGTCCATGCACCATGTCTGAGCACCGTGCCCAAGCACCAAGTCTACAATGCATGTCCATGCACCAATGTCCGAGCACCGCGGTCGAGCACCACGTGCATTACGTGTGGCCAAGCACTGGGACTGAGCACCACATCCATGTGTCACGTCCGAGCACCACACTGAGCACCACGGCCGAGCACCATGTCCACAAGGTGTGGCCAAGCACTGTTCCTGAGCACCACATCCAAGCACCACATCCACGAGCTGTGGCCAAGCACCATGACTGAGCACCACACCCACAATGTGTGGCCAAGCACTGAGCCCGAGCACCGCGTCCAAGCACCGCGTCTACGTTGTGTGTCCAAGCACCACATCCAAGCACCACATCCAAGCACCACACCCACCATGTGTGGTTGAGCACCATGTCCAAGCACTTATGTCCACACGCCATGTCCGAGCGCTGTGGCCGAGCACCATGACCACACATGTGGCCGAGCACCGTGACCACAAACCTGGCCAAGCACCATGGCCACACACATGGCTGAGCACCCTGTCCAAGCACTGAGACCTCACACCTGGCTGAGCACCACGACTAAGCACCATGTCCACAACGTGTGGCCGAGCACTGAGCCTGAGCACCGAGTCTATGATGAGTGACCAAGCACCATGTCTGAGCACCACATCCACCATGTGTGACCGAGCACCATGACCACACACGTGGCTGAGCACCGTGACCACAAACCTGGCCGAGCACCATGACCATACACCTGGCTGAGCACCCTGCCCAAGCACCATGACCACACACCTGTCCAAGCGCTGTGGCCGAGCACCATGACCACACACCTGGTCAAGCACCCTGGTCAAGCACCATGACCACACACCTGGCTGAGCACCCTGTCCAAGCACCATGACCACACACCTGGCCGAGCCCCCCGGACGTCACCTCTGAGCGCGTCATCCTGGGCCCACACCTGCACCTCGACCCTCAGGGAACGGCTCCACCCGGCGGCACACCTCGGACGCGGCACCTCTTTCAGTTTGCATAAACCCAACCGGCTCCCGGCACGCCTCGAGCTGTCGCTCCGGAATAGTAAACTTCCTTCTCAACGACATTGCTTAATTCTTTTTCTTTTTTTTTTTTTTTTCTTAAATCTTGGTTCCTTAATTTGATATATACATTAGTAGCACCTCAGCGAGATGGAATCAGGCAGAAGCGTGATACAGTTTGTTAAAACACCATAGCACCGTTTGTATTACAAGATTTCATTTAATAAAAATATGCCTTATAGAGCCCACAAAGCGTACTCCAGTATTAAAAGGAAAAATCAGCAATTGAGGCACCTCAGGGATTCTGGTTTCCTTCTCCTTCCCATGCCTCATCCCGAGAGCATCGAGATGGGGGGGACGACCCAAATTGCATCCCCCGTTTCCTGCCCGAGGCGAAGCATCGCGGCCAGAAAAAACAAAGCAGGACTAAGGAGCCGGTCGGGGCTCCCCGTGCCGAGCCCTCCCTGGGGTTCCTACCGCGGGTGTTGTTCTAGCACCATTGTGGCCACGACCTGCTGCAAAATCAGGTCCCCACATCCCACTCATTAAAAACATCCCTCCCCCCGAGCTCCGTGACCCCCGTGGCTTCGGCACAGGGCGGGACGAGCGCGGCCGCCGGGACGGGTAAAGGGAAAAGATTTTGCTTGGA